AGAGAGAGAGAGAGAGAGAGAGAGAACTTTTTTAATTTTTTTTTTTTTAGTTTTCGGCAGACACAACATCTTTATCTTTATGTGGTGCTGAGGATCAAACCCAGCACCCCGCACATGCCAGGCGAGCGCGCTACCGCTTGAGCCATATCCCCAGCCCCAGTAACAAGAACTTTAAAAGAGGCTCATGCCAGGCTCAGGGGTGCACTCCTATAATCCCAAACACTCAAGAGAAAAGAGGATCGAAAGTTCAAGTCCTGCTTGAGCAACTTAGCGAAATCCTATCTCAAAAAATAAAAAGGGCTAGGGGATGTCGCTCAGTAGTAGAGTGCCCCTGGATTCAATCTCCGGTATCCAAAAAGAAAAAGAAGAAAAAAAAGAGGTTGATACTTATATCTAACAATTCTTCCTCTAAGAAATGCATCTTAAACCTGGGGAATGCTTTAAGCAAAAGATGTCCATCAAAAATGTCATTTATGGGGCTGAAGTTGTGGCTCAGTGGTAGAGCGCTTGCCTGGCAGGTGTGAGGCCCTGGGTTCAATCCTCAGCACCACATATAAATAAATAAATAAAATAAAAGATCCACTGACAATTAAAAATATATATATTTTTAAATGTCATTTATAGTAACAACCTAAAGTTCCCACAAGAGAGGAATAGTTTAGTAGCTACAGTGTATCCATCTGCATGGTGAAATAGTAGGTAGCCATTTCAAAGATATGTAGAAAGAGTTAATTCCGGTGTAGCAAAGGTTATATAATATATAATATTATGTGTGGGGGGGGAAGAGTACAAACTTTCATTTCTCTGGTCTGGAAAAAGTAAACCTGGGGATGTAGCTCAGTGGTAGAATATGTGCTTAGCATCCTCAAGATCCTGAGTTTTAGTCCCAGGATTTTGGGGGGGTAGTTACCAGATATTGAACTCAGGGGCACTCCCCCACTGAGCCATATCCTCAGCCCCCAGCCTTTTTTTTTTCTTTTAATTTAAAGACAGGGTCTCACTGAGTTGCTTAGCATCTTGCTTTTGCTGAGGTTGGCTTTGAACTCACCATCCTCCTGCCTCAGCCTCCCCAGCCTGGGTTTACAGGCAGGTGTGCCACTGGGCCCAGCAATCCCCAGGATTAAAGGAAAGAAAAAAAAAAAAGTCAACCAGTACATAGAAGAAAAACTTCTAAGGCAGCTCAGCAACATGGTTGTTTTGGAGGCTAAAATTATTTTCTTGCAATTTTTTTTCTTTTTGTGTTTTCCAAACTTTCTTTAATTTTCATGTGCTTCTTTCATGGCGGAGGGGAAAAATTCATTTGCTGAACTGCATTAAGTACCCTGGAGAAAGGCAGGAAGCCTCACATGGGCAAAGCCTGGATGGGGACAGAGGGGCCCCTGTCCTTGATGAGCTATGCCAACCCAGGGCAGCTGCAGGGGGAAGATCACTGAGGCTGGCAGTGAATAGGATGGTATGGGAGGCAGAGTAATACCCCCAAAGATGTCTACACTGCAATCCCTGAACCTGTGGTTCATTTACTCTGATGTAGGGCTGTGAATGCAACTTGCCTAGCATGTGAGAGGTCCTGGGTCCCATCCCTAGCACCATCATATCAGTTCATTGGTATTTGGTCTGCATCTCCTATCCCTGTCCCCATTTCCTCACACACAACTCCTGAAACCATTGGAATCTTCAAGAGGAAAAGCATGTTTTTGTGTGCTCATGAGCTGTCTGATGGCTGGCTGCCCCCTGGGTGGCTTCAGAGTAGAGGCTGGTCACCCAACAGCCCAGGGCAGGATTAGAGGGTGGGAACTGTCAGCTCCACCCCCAGCCTCTGAATGTCCACTGAATCTCCAATGGCCCGTGATGTAATCATCATGCCTACGTCATAAAGAAGCCTCCATGAAACCTCCCAAGGACAGGGTTCAGATGAGCCTCTGGAGGCTCACAGAGGAGTCACACCCAGAGTGGGTTCCACACCCCTATGCAGCATTTCATCGGTATCCTTTGCAATGTTTTTTATAATAAGCCAGTTTCCCTGAGCTTTGTGAGCCGCTGTAGCTTAAAAATGAATCAATTAATTAATTCTTTTTTTGTTTCCTTTCTGTTTTTACACTGCTGGAGATGGAACCCAGGGCCTTCTGCACACTAGGCAAACTACACCCCAACCCTCCTAGCAAATTAACTGAACACCAGGAGAGTCCCGTGGGAATCCGAGTTAATATCAGATTAGAGAAGAACTTCCCAGCATTTCCTGGAAGAGGCCCAGGCTTGCAACTGGCATCTGAAAGAAGGAACAACTTTAGGGACTGAGCCTTCGACCTATGACATCTAGTGCTGTCTCCAGGTAGCTAGGGTTAGAACTGAATTGGAAGCGAGGGCACCCAGCTGGGGTCTGCTGCTGAGTGACCCCACCTCTGGTCATGGAAATCTTCCTATTGATTTTAGACGTTGTAGGAAAAACAGAAAATGTTTTTCTACAGCTATCTTCCATGGGAAAAGGCACTTTGCAGGTAAGATTATGCTAAGGGCCGCAAGATGGAGAGAGAAAGCATCCTGGGTATCTGGGTGGGTCCTGCTTCTTAGACACATCAGTTCTTTAAAGTGCAAGAGGATTTATTGAACATTTATTGAACGCTTATTTATAAAATGCCAAACACTGGCATATTAAGTGCTCGATAGAAATATTCTGATTTTACCATCCCAGTCCTCTAAGGTAACAAATATTTCCTGTCTCTAATTGACCAGATGGGGAAACTGAGCCTGGGATTTTCTGATCCACTCTTGGATCAACAAGAATAGATCAGAAAATGCAGCTGGGGACTCCTACAGCCAGCACTGTCTTTGAAGATGAAGAAAGGGGCCATGGGTCAAGGAGTGCAGCAGCTTCTAGAAGCTGGAACTGCTTTCCTCAGCAAGAACCAAGCACCTGGGTCCCATGAACAAAAGGAACCCAACTCTGCCCACAACCCAAATCTACAGCTAATGGGTTCTGCTGGGGAGCCTCCAGGACAGGACACAACTTGACATGCTTGCCTTTGTCTAGGGAGATCTGTGCTGGGCTTCTAATACACAGAACAATGAGATTACAAATATCTGTCATTTTCAAGCCTCTAAAACTATGGTTCCTTTTAATAGCTGTTGAAAACAAACAGAGACGTGGATGGAACACTGGCTAGGAGTCAGGACCTGGGGTCCAGGCCTGGCTGGTGTCTGTGGGTCCTTGGCAAATCCTTGGATCTTGGGCTCCCTCTTCTACGTGGGGCAGGGTGACCTCTTTGCCCTTCCACATCTGACCCTCTGTTTTGCATGTGCACTTTATTGGTTCTGAAATTTGGAGAGGTAGAGGGTTTTTCCTTGCAGCAAACACAGGATCCCTGGAGTGTGGATGGGGGAAGAGCACACTCACCGTTGAGTGTCTGCCTGGGCATTGTGTGCTCCAAGGGAAGGTCAGCATTTGCTTCCCGGATTGTGGCTCCCAGAGTGCCCTGCAGTTTGTCAGCAGCCCTGGGCACGTCATTGGGGAGAGGGGACTATGAGCTTGGGGCAGGCCGGTCTACACAGGGCAGAGTGTTCCTGAAAGATCTACTGGGGCTTAGGGGCGCCATCTTGCTGCCCATCCTCCCAGGCCCTGAGCTGGGGCACTGAGGCAGATATTGGGTCTAACATGAGTCAGGAGAGGCAAGGGGGCTCTGTGCAGGCACCTCTGGGGCCTCTGCGGCCAGGAAGCTGTGGCTTGCGCCTCTCTGCAGCCTCCTACACTGTGCTTTGATCCAGCACAGACAGGCCTCGGGGTGCTCCCTGCCTGTTCCTGTCTCTGGGCCCCAGCCAAGGTGGAATGTGGGAGGCCTGCCTGGTCGGGGCTCCCCACCTAGCCTGAGCAGGGGTGGCCCCTGCGGGCACTCGGGCTCCGCAGAGTAACACACCCCCCAAATCCCAGGCTCAGTTTCCCCATCTGGTCAGATAGAGATAGGAAATCTTTGTTACCTTAGAGAATTGGGATGATAAAAATCAGAGTCTTTCTAATGAGCGCTTAATATGCCAGTGCCTGGCGTATTATAAATAAGCATTCAATAAGTGACGACTTTTTAAATTATTAACCATGTTGTTAACAAAATCATTCAGTCCCTGTGGGGATGTGGGCATTTTGCTTTCTGTCTCTGGGCCTCTGTCTAATCCATGTCTAATGCATGGACCTGACCCTGGAGCCCTGGGGTCCTGCCCTCTCTGAGATTCTGGCTTCCCTCCATGTCCCCACCTCTTCCTCGTCTAGGGGACATGTGTCAAATGCAGTGCTACCCAGGCCAGAGCCCCAGTCGGACAGTGGCACCCTGGGGACTGGTCCTCCCTTCACTGCCTGCTGCCTAGGGGGCCTCATCTGAAGAGGGGTCTGGCAGAAGGTAAGGCCCTCTGTGCCTGCTCCTGCCTGTCTTCTCAAGGCAGCCTGCAGGCTTGGCCAGGGTGGCGTCTGAGGAATGGGGAAGTCTGGGGAGGCAACTGAGGCTGTGTTAATGTGTTGAATGATGCAGTTTGGAACAGCCTCCACCGCAGTCCCTGCCCCTGCTGATATCTTCTTTAAGGGCGAGTCCCTCTGGGCACAGTGGCTCACGCCTGTAATCCCAGCAACTCAGGAGGCTGAGGCAGGAGGACTGCAAGATTGAGGCCAGCCCTGGCAATTTAGTGAGACCCTACCTCAAAATAAAGAGGACGGGATGCTGGGGACATAGCTCAGTAGAGTGTCCCTGGTGTCAATCCCCAGTACCATATACACACACAAAGTCCCAAAGCTGCAGTGACCAGTCCGATGCTCCCATCCTATTCTGTCCCTGCTCTTGGTTTCACATCTAGCCAAATTTGGCATCCCCCCCAAAAAAGCATCACGGCTGGCACCCACTCAGTTTTCCACGCACTATTCATCATGCCTTGGATACATCCCTCTCATTCTCCTCCAAGATGTCCCCTTCCCCTGGAAAACTCCGTCACCCCTGCAACACTCCCCTCTGACAGGACAAGGTTCGATGCCTCTTCCAAACTCCTGTACCTCCCTGGGCTTAGCCTGCTGCACCTACCTCCCCCTCTGTCACAAGCTCTCAGAGATGGGGGCTGCTACCGCTTCATTCCTGTGCACAGCCCTGAGCCCAGAGCCGGCCATAAAGGAGAGTCCATAAATGTTCAAAGAGAAGAGAGCTGGGGGCAGAGCTCAGGGAGAGAGTCCTCGGCTCCATCCCCGCCCTGCAACAGGAACAACAAACAGACAAATTGGTTAATTAATTAATTAAAAGTACCAAAGACAGAAACAACAAACACAGCAAGGGTGTGGGAGAGGGGAGTTCTTGGATACTGTTGGTGGGAATGTGAATGACTGCAGCTATTTTTAGTTTGGAGGAATCCCCCCAAAACTAAAAATAGAGCCAGGCACAGTGGCCCATGCTCTTAATCCCAGTGACTAGGGAGGCTGAGGCAGGAGGATCGCAAGTTCAAGGCCAGCCTCAGCAACTTACAGAGACCCTGTTTCAAGAAAAAAAAAAGTTAGAAAGGCTGGGGATGTAGCCCAGTGTTAAAGCACCCCTGGATTCAATCTCTGGTTTTAAAAAAAAAAAAAAACAAAAGCTTAAAATAAAAACTACCATATGACCCAACTCTCCAACTTCTAGTTATGGAAAGGAAAGGAAAGCAGTATGTCCAAAGAATTATATCTATTCCCATATTTATTGCAGCCCTATTCACAATAACAGAGATATGGAATCAATCTAATTGTTCCTTAATGGATGAATGGATCAACAAAATGTGGTGTGTGTGTGTGTGTGTGTGTGTGTGTGTGTGTTGTATGTACACACACATACACAATGGAATATTAGTCAGCTATAAAAAGGTGAAATTGCGTCATTTGCAACAACATGGAGAATATTATGCTCAAGTGAAATAAGCCAAGAGCAGAAAGATAAACACTGCACGGTGTCTCTCATAGGTGGAATATACAAGAGTGGCCCTCATAGAAGTAAAGAGAATATTAGTTACCAGAGGCTAGGAGTCGAGGGATAATGGGGAAAGTCAGGTCCACATGTGGGTTACTTAGGAAGAATAAGTCCTGGGGTTGATCACACACTGGGGTGATCATGGCTAACAATAACGAATTGTCTATTTCAAGACAGCTACAGAGGGGGTTTTGCATGTATCACCACAGAGAAATGATGAATGTCTGAGCCATGACTACGCTCATGTCCCTGACTTGGTCATCATACACATGTCATTTGACCTAGCAATCGCACCTCCAGAGATCTGTCGTGCAGATAAGTGTCTCTGTGGCCTTTGTGGCCATCCCTATTAATGGTGAACGTGGAAACGATCTATATGCCCGTCAGCTGAAGAACAAATACATCATGTTACACCCACACAGTGGGCTCTTGGGAAGCTTTTAAAACAAATGTAGAAACACCCCCAAGAGGAACCGGAAGTTTCCTGCAGGAGGTGTCTCAGAAAGCAAGGTCAGCTGGCCACGGAGGCTGCCAGGTGAGGCCTTCCAAGGCCTCCATGGGGAATGGGGGTACCCACACCATGGGGTACTGAAAATGCCAGTTCGTGAAAAGAAATGTGAGCACTGAGTCTGGATTAGCACCCCAGCTTCCTCACCCCTGGGGTTCCTCACTCATTTCTGCATTTTCCAGGGGAGTCCAGCTGCCCACAGTGGAGACCTGTTTGATAATCCATTTTCCAGAGGCTCTGTCCCCTTCCTGTATCACCTCTCCACCCTGTTACAGGACTGGGCATCCTAATCCTCACTTCTCCGAATGGGACCTTATTTGGAAATCGGGTTGTTGTAGGTGTGATTAAAGTGGAGATGAGGTCCTGCTGGTGGGCTCTGATCCACAATGGCTGCCGTCCTTCATCTGGACACAGGGAGGTGCCCACTGGGAGAACGCCATTTGAAGATGAAGAGCTAGGGGTAACTCCTCCACAAGCCATGGAGGACCAACCACTCCCGGAGGCTGCAGGAGAGGGAGGGGATGGTTCTCCCCTGCAGTCTTCAGAAGGAACCAACTGGTGGACATTTGATCTTGAGCTTCCTGCCCCCAGAACATCAAGGCAGCCCATTTCTATGTGCAACTGTGTTATATCAGCCGCAGCCAATGAATACCACCTCCTTTCCAGTGTTTTCTAGACCTGCCAAAGTTAAGTGTTCGTACTTCATCTTGGTCTTGGGTCAGGAACCCAGAGTAAGGACACAGGGAAGCGGCTGGTTCCGTGGAGCAGGGAGATGGCAAGAGGAAGATCATCGAAAAGATTCAGGGAACTTGGGAGGTGGGGCAGATTGAAGTCCCCACCCTCTGAGTGAGAACCGGGGATGTGGGTACAGGTAGGACACAGGATGGAAAGTTGGCTCAAGATGTTAAGGCAATTGCCCATTCAACCGGCCGCCTCCGCCCGACTGATGGGGAGAAGGCTGGGCATTCACACCCACTGAGGCAGATCCGGGTGTGGTGGTTCCCAAGTTGGCAAAGCAGGCTTTCCAGGGCTCCCTGCAGAGGAGCCGGCCCCCCTCCTGCGGAAGATAGCCTGCAGCCCACATGCCAGCCCCAGACGGGTCCCCCAAGAGCATTCCTGCCTAATAAGACAGAGACCATTGGCAAAAATGCAGAAAATAGTTTATGTACAGTCGTGGGAAAATGAAAAGGCTGATTATTGTTAAAAAATTTAATGTTACTTTTGAGAAGCCAAATGTCCCTCCAGGGGGGAATGATTAAACGCACAATAGTTCCTCCCTTAGACTTGGCGGTGGGCCTAGCTCCTACGATCCCGCCCCCTTGAATCCAGACCCTTCTGGGTGTGTGACGTGTCTGTCCTGGTGGGGTTCAGAGCGTTGAGAGGACCTGGGGATGAGCTGGGCTGGAAGTTCCAGGCATGGAGTCTTGCCTCAGCGGTGCCAAACCCAAGGGTCCCTGTGATGCAGGTCTCAGTTTTCCTTCCCTTAAATGGGCGCATCACTGAAGATGCTGGGGCACATCTGGTAAGTATCCCAGTCACCAGCTGTGGGACAGCAGGTTGGGAGGAGCCTCTGGGTTTTCCTCGGAGACTCCCACCTCTCCAGCCTGGGAGAGCAAGGCAGGAAGTGTTGCTGGGAGGGAGGCTGCAGGGGCGATGTGGGGGGCGAGGGCAGGCTGGGGGCTGAGCAGGCAGGAACTGAGCTCTGGCGTCCTGGCCCCCGCGGGTGCTGGAGACTGGGAAGGATTCTTGGTGGTTTGGGTGTAACTTGAAATTCTGCCATTTTCCTTTCTTATCTCATCATCAGAAGGAAATCAGACAAGAACATGAGCTCATTCTAAATAGAAGCCATTTTTTGCCTTCTGGTTCCTATCAATTAAATCGTCTCTCGTGTGTTGATCACCGTCAGACGTCAGGCCTTTCTGGACTGCGAGGCACGGCGCTAATTAGGCTGCTGTGCCTGTTGAGGGCTGCCTCCGTGAGGCCATGGAACAACTTTACAGTCTCTGGCACCGCTGAACTTGGACTTGGAGCTCAGTTCTGCCATTAACCAGTGGTGCTGCTGTCAGCAGGTACCTAACCAACCTGAGCTGTGACTTCCCCGTCTATAAACCAGGGAGAAGCAGCCCAGACCTGAGCCCAGACCTGAGCCCATACCTGCTGCAGGGAGCGTTGATGGACCCCCAGGGCCATGTGTTGAGGGCTTGCTCCTCAGGGTGGCGCTAGTGAGAGGGGGTGGAAACTGAGGGCCCAACCGGAAGCCTTTGGGTCACTGGGGGTGTGCCCTGGAAGGGGATTGTGGGACCCCAACTCCTCTCTCTTTTCTTTTGCTTCCTGGACTTGCAGTGAGTGAGTGAGCAGTCCATCACACACTCCCACGGTGATATGCCACCTCACCACAGGCGCAAAACCACGAGGCCAAGCAATCAGGAACCAAACTAAACCTTTTCTCTCTCTAAGTTGGTTATCACGGGTATTTGTTATAGTGACAGAAAGCTGTTCAACAGTGTCACTCCCACCAGGAAGCTCTCTGGGACAGGAACCCATCCACCCCTGTGGGTGAGATTGTCCCTCCAGCAGACTTGTCTGCCACCGTCTTTCTCTCCAGCACTTTCAACACCACGTAGTGAATGAGCTGTGGCTGTCTTTTCCTCAAGCGTGAACCTTTGAAGGCAGGAACAATGCATTCACTGGACTCTCCAGGGCTTACTGTGGCACCTCCTTTGGGTAATTTGGGAGTCTTAGTCCTTGTTATCTCCATCAACCTTGTGTTCTCCCACTTCCAAATAAATAGATAATCCAAACAGAACAGTGTTCAAGTTTGTTTCAAGCCAAGTCCCCTAGCCACACGCCCTCCACCACCACCAGATTGCAGTTCCAGAATCTTCCAACCTAGAATCGGTGCCACCACTGAGGATTCAATGTGCAATAGGAGCTCAGTCAGGAGACCTGGAGGGATGAGCGCACTCAGGAGTTATCCTCGGAGCTGGCGTCGCCAGCTCCGGGACAGCATGTGCTCAGCATGCACAAGACTTGGGGTTCCATCCCCAGCACCTTCCTCTCCCTCATGCACTTCATGCTCCTGATCCCAGGTCCTGCAGCCTCTCCCCGCCCCCCAGAGGCCCAAGGACCTTTCTCTTTGCCCACCCTGCCTTTGCTGGCCTAGGCCCTGGCGTCAGTGCAAGACCC